CACCTCCCCACCCTGCAGGAGACAAGGTCCAGGAGGGGAGAGGAGTCAGGAATGCTGGGAGGGAGGGAAGCTATGGAGGAGCGAGGGGAAGAGCAGATGGCCTTACCCGGAAAAATTCCTTGAGCTGGGGGCTGTTGTTGAGCGCAGGGATGGGCACTGTGAAGCGCAGCAAGTCCTCTGCACCCTTCCGCCGCTCCTCGATCACAGAGGCTTCAAACCGACCTGAGACCCGGGGACAGGAGAGCAGCCACGATAACAGGGGCTTCTGGTCCCCAAGCCCACATTTCCTGGTTCTGCCTGACAAGTGCCAAGTAGCCTGCTGGCCCCCCCATGCTCTCACGAGCCTTCCCTGGCTCCTCCTGAAGGCATCTCCCTCCCTGTTCATCTCAGTCTTCCTCCAGACGTGTAATGAAACCTGCTTCCTGCTGGCTTCAGGTCAGGGAGAGAAACAAATGCCCTGTTCTCAAGGGTACATAGACAGGGAAGCAAGAAATGCCTCTCTTCCTTTCTTTTTCTTTCTTCTTTCCTTCCTTCCTTTCTCTCTGTCTTTCTTTTTTTTATATTTATTTATTTTTTGTTTTGTATACAATTTTTCTGTCTGCATGTACACCTGAACACCAGAAGAGGCACCAGATTTCATTATAGATGGTTGTGAGCCACCATGTGGTTGCTGTGATTTAAACTTAAGACCTCTGGAAGAGCAAGCAGTGCTCTTAACCTCTGAGCCATCTCTCCAGCCCCTCTTTCTTTCCTTCTTTTGACCATGTCTCATTATATAATTCTGGCTGGCCTGGAACCTGCTATGTAGACCTAATGGACTCTTGGGTTCTCTGTTATAAAAACTAGCTTGGTTTTGTCACTCATGTCCTCCCTGCCTATGTGATGCTCCCTGTCAACCTGGGGCTCTGCCAGCAACAGAGCCAACAGCAGATGTGGCCTCTGAACCTTGGACCAGAGCCCTATGTCAAAATAAGTCTTTTTTCTGTAATAACTAATGCATTCAAGTGTGTGGTATTGTGTTAATTGCAGCAGAAAACAGACTAAGGCTCAGACAAAGGCCCTTTTGCTGAACCTCATCTTGATGGGAATGTTAATAGCCCAACACACAATAAGGGGTAGGTTGCTTTGAGACTCAGTTTCCCCATATTTCAAGGAGAGCATCTCAGAAGGCTCATCCAGTTTTCCTGAAGTGTCTGTTCAGGGTACATGATCACACTTCACCAGCCCCACCAGTCCAAGGCCCCTTTGCCTAAATCTCCCTGCACACCGAGGCCAGAAGTTCACAGACAATACTCACCAAACACCTGGGCACGGGGGAAAGCTGGAAACTCCTCTAGGCGGCGGAAGAGGTTGCGGTGAGTATAGGCCAAGTCCCCATGGAGCTTACGGAAGTCACTGTATCGCTTCCAGACTACTACCTATGAGGCATGTGACACTTGACCCATGTGACACTTGACCGGGCCAGCAAGGTGGGGAAAGTGGCCTTCCCATGCTCAGGGTGTCCTAGGGGCCAAGAAGGACTGCACACACCCTCTCCACCAAGAAAGGAGGCAGGTCCTTAAAGATACAAGCTATTCCCTTACTGATGCTGGATATGGACATGGGAACAGGCCCCTCTTTCCCAGGATCCTTACCTCTTTGATATCCTCTGGGTCCTTCTTTGAGATGAACTGAGAAAGGAAAGGCAAGAGCCAGGTTAGACCAGAGCCTGTGCAACACTGGATTGTCCCTGAAAAGCTGAGTAAGTCTCAAGGGCCTCCTAGTTTCCCTTAAAGGAAAGTGCCTGCTGTTAGAAGAGTACTGGATTTAAGACTTGGAGCCAGTTTTCTTTTGGGTTTCTGGACACAGGGTTTCACGCAGCCCAGGCTGGCCTCAAACCAGCTAGTAGCAGAGGCTGGCTGTGTATTCCAAATCCTCCAACCTGCCTCCCAAATGCTGGGATTACAGCATGCACCACTAGGCTCAGCTATTTTATTGTTTATTTTTGGTACTAAGAATTGAACTCAGGACTTCTTGAGACCTGAGCTAGCACTCTTCCATTGAGTTTCATCCTCAGCTCCTTGAGAAGTTTTCCAATTGTACACCCATATCTTCATCTGATAAAACTGAGGATACTGAGCTGGGTGCGGTGGTGCACACCTGTAATCCTCGTACTCAGGGAGGCAGAGGCAAGAGGATCTCTGTGAGTTCGAGGCCAGCATGGTCTACAAAGTTGAGCCCAAGACAGCCAAGGCTGCATAGAGAAACCCTGTCTTGGAAAAAATAAAAATAAAAAAGTGAAGAGATGGAATATATATCTAGGTAACCCCATAGTCAACTTTATTATGTTTTTAAAGTTGGTCTTTTATCTATCTATTGGATAGGTGGCAAGGTCTCCCTATGTAGCTCTGGCAGGCCTAGAACTTGCTGTGTAGATTAGGTTGGCTTCAAACTCACAGAGATCTGACTGCTTCTGCCTCTTGAGGGCTTGGGAGTAAAGACATGTGCCATCAGGCCTGGCTCTCAACTTAACTTCTCTCCTAATTCCTTCCTAGGGCCATGTCCTATATTCAGAAAACAAAAAGCTCCACTTCTCTAAAGAAAGTCTGTGGGCTAGAGAGAAGGCTCAGTGGTTATGAGCACTGCTCTTCCAGGGGACCCAGGTTCAATTCCCAGCACCCACATGGTGGCTCATGAGTGTCTGTAACTCTGGTTCCAGGGAATCCAACAACATCACTCAGACATGGTGCAGGCAAGACACCAATGCACATAAAAGAAAAATAAGTCATTAAAAAAAGTGAGAGTCTGCCCCAGGATTCAGTTCCTCAAGGGAGGAGCCCTGAGGTCACAGAACCAAGAAGATAGACGAAGTCAACTGGGGTTGGGCACTCTAGAAGAGCAGAATTGGCCTGAGACAGAAGGAATACTTGGTTTTCACTGTTACGTTTATAGATGTTTTACAGTTAGATTTGTACAGTTTGTAATCATTAGCAGTTTTCAAAACAATTTTTTCTAGACCCCAGCAAATCAGACATGATTAAGATACTTATTTAAGAGTTAAGGGTGGGGACTGGAGAGATGGCTCAGTAGTTAAGAGCTTGTCCAGATTGTCCAAGGACCAGAGGTCAGTGCCCAGAACAGCACCCATGGTATGTAGCTCACAACCTTAACTCCAGCTCCAGGGATTCAATCTAATGTTCCTTCTCCTGACCTCCACAGGCATCCAAGCAAGCTGGGAAACACATCCCCACAAACATACACACAAATCAAAACTAAGGGGGCTGCAGAGATGATTCAGCAGCTAAAAGCATTTGCTGCTGTGGCAGAGGACCTGGGCTCGGGTCCCAGCAAGCAGACGGCAGACTGAAACAGTGTCTAACTCCAATTCCAGGAGATTCAAAACCTTTTCTGACCTTTGGGGTCACCAGGCATGTATCTGGTATACATACATACATGCAGGCAAAACACTCACACATATAAAATAAAAGTAAATGAATCTGGCTGGGCGGTGGCGGCACATACCTTTAATTCCAGCATTTGGGAAGCAGAGGCAGAGGCAGAGGCCTAGTCACAAAGGGAGTCCAGGACTGCCAAGGCTACAGAGAAACTCTGTATCAAAAAACAAAACAAAACAAAACAAGACAAAAAAACAAAACAAAACAAAAACGAAACGAAACGAAACAACAACAACAAAACTAAAACATTACAAAATATTTTAAGTAAATAAACCAGGTGTGGTGGTACAGAGCTTTAATCCCAGCACTCAGGAGGCAGAGGCAGGAGGATCTCTGTGAGTTCCAGGCCAGTCTGGTCTAACAGAGAGAGTTCCAGGACAGCCAGGGCTACACAGAGAAACCCTGTCTTGTTGGGGGGAGGGAGGAAGTAAATAATTTTCTTAAATAAAAGACAAGGATCATCCAATGGGTTGTTCTGGCACATGTGACCAGCGCACTCAAGGGGAGGGGCTGTTCAGATCATCTTCAGTTACATATTGAGTTTGAGAGTTGGGTTTGTGTGTGTGTGTGTGTGTGTGTGTGTGTGTGTGTGTGTGTGTGTGTGTGTGTTGCACTTGTCTAGCATGTGGACGGGCCGGAGTTCAACCATAGCACTGAAAAAAAGAAAAAAACTGCATGTGTAAGGCATGTGACTAGGTCTCAAAAGCTAACAGAAATACACATACAAAAGGCTAACAAATGCTTTTGCATCCTACCCTCCGGCCATCTTTCTAGAGACACTCACTCTGTATATTTTTGGTATGCGGAAGAAGCAAGTTTTTGGGCTGAACACACTGGAGATGTGTAGGATTCTTCTGGCTTAGACCCTCCGAGAGGGACCTTTATGTGTTTGCTTTCTTTTAACAGGTGACAAGTTGAAAAAAATTTAAGTACAAGAAAAAGTACAGTTAGCCTTCCGGCAGCAACCCTGTTTCTCCCGCAGGAAGCCTCCATAGTTACTGGCCCTCGGGTAAAATTCTAAAAGCATTCTTTCCTGCGGATTTATTTTCAGTTTCCCCCAGGTCTCTCTCTACTCGGTTTTATTGTTACAAACACCAGCTTCAGCTTTTATTGACTTCCTTGGAGAGCTCTGAAGATGGTAGACTTCACTCTTTTTGAATTGCCTGAGTTTTTTAAACCACACAAATACATTTTTAACGAAAAACTCTTTGAAAGACCTTTTCATAGTTGGGCACGGCAGCCTAGGCCTCTAATCCCAGCGCGTGGGAGGCAGAGGCAGGGGGCTCTGTGAGTTCAAGGCCAGCCTGGTGTACAGAGCGAGTTCCACGACAGCCAGGGCTGAGTGGAGAGACCCTGTCTCCAAAAAATATATAAAAAATACAAATAAATAAGATAGAGGGGTTTTTTACGTATGAAGCGGAGCTAATCATCTAACTCCAGGCGATTAGAGAAGGACTATTTGGGCTAACCCGGAGTTTTCTTGCTTTAAGAAACTTGAAGACTGCACTTGCCAGCACCATCAAAGAGGCAGGGGCACAGGCGTCCGGCAGAGCAGTGGTCCGCACGTTTAAAAACGACCCTTAGCCCCGCCCCAGGTGGTGAGGCTTCCGCCTCCGGCTCCTTTTAAAGGGGAACCCACTTCTGTAGGCCAAACCGCGACCTCCCAGCAGCTCTTTGCCTTTAAGGTACACCGTGGGCGCCGGGCTGCTTAACCGGGTACCGCTCCCCTGGCTGGGTCCCGCCTCACCTGCGCGGTTACTTTGTACTCCGTGTAGCCCTTGGGGTGGGTCCTGGGGTCCGAGACGGTGTAGTGCCGCAGGAAGTCATCCTTGGCCTGGCGCGACATGACAGCGGAGCTGGCCGCGGGCCCCTCCTCCCGCACGTCGGCCCGCTCCGCGCGTTCAGCCCGCTGCCACCGCCGGGAACTGGCCCGAGCCCTTCTTCTCCTCCAGGCCCAGGGACCTAGTCGCAAGTGACACAGCTGTTCTTGGCCTAGGGGCGTGGCTAAGGGAGTGTCTGACAAGTTCTAGGTCATTGGTAAAGCGGAGATCTGGGTAGAGAATTAGGATTGGTTGTTTGGGGGAGGTTTTACCAGCTGACGCCGGGGCGGGTGATTGAGTTCATCCTACCCCAACGTAAACACTTCTTAAAGACTTGCGAAACTTCTCCCCTGCTTCTCTTTATGTCTATCTAGCCTCTTCTTTATTTTATGAATTCTTTTAAGCTATGGTCTCTGCTGTGTTGCCCACTCGCACTTCTGGACTTAAAAATATCCTTCCTCAGCTTGCTAAGTAGCTGGATCTACAGGTGCTTGGCACAGGGCCTGACCCACGCGACTTTCACTGTGTTCACAATGGGCCAGACAGAGCCGAGTTAAGTTCCTTGTATCTCTGTGCGGGATTGGCTGGGTGACTGACATTTTCTGACGCTGAAAAAGCTGGAAAGTGACAGAGGCTCTCAAGTCATAAGGCTTATAAGGCTTACAGCTGTCTGAATTCCCCTTTACTGCTTTAAATTTCAGGAGGTGGGACATTGCGATGATCTCATGTTAGCCCAGGTTGGCCTCAGACTCACTATGGACTCGAGGCTAGCCTTAAATTTCTGATCCTCCCTTCTCCACCTCCCAAAAGCTGAGATCACAGGTAAGCATCACCACATTTTCCTCCCTTGACTGCTTGCACCTAGTTTTCTTTCTTCCTTTTTTTTTTTTTTTCTTCTGTATGGCCTTGGCTCCACCTAGTTTTTTATCTATGGAAAGGGGGACTTGTAACAGTGTCTACTGTAATAGAGCTGATCAAGGGTCATGCTGGCAGAACACAGGTATGGTGAAAAACCAACACCAGGTCAAAGCCAAATTGGTGAGGAAGACATATCAACATGTTATCACTAAACTCATAGATTCCTGCACATTCCACCACTAGCAGAAATCCCATCTTCAAATGGGAAAGAGATAGGTAAAAGAACCATTGAAAAATTTGAGGAGGTGCTGGGTGTGGTGGTGTATGCCTTTAGTCCTAGCACTGGAGATGCAGAGGCTTATGGATCTCTATGACTTTGAGGCCAGCCTGGTCTACAGAGCTAGTTCCAGGACAGCCAAGGCTACACAGAGAGACCCTGTCTTGAAAAACAAACAAACAAACAAACAAATGAAGGCAAACAAACAAACAAACAAACCTGCAAACCATTTAATTGGGACTTGCTTACAGTTTCTGAGGTTTAGTCCATGATCACCATGGTGGCATGAAGGCAGACACTGTGTGAAGTACCTGAGAGTTCTACATCAGGATCAACAGGCAGAAGAGAGAGATATATACTGGGCCTGCCTTGGGCTTTTGAAACCTCAAAGGCTACCCACAGCCATACACTTACTCCAACAAGGCCACACCTCCTAATCTTTCTCAAATAGTGCTACTCCCTGATGACTAAGCATTTAAATATATGAGCCTGTGGGGGCCATTCTTATTCAAACCACCACAGGGCTGCTGAGATGGGCAGAGCCCCAGGACTTTCTTAAATAGAATGCTGACTGTGGGTCCACTGTCATGGGTGAAACGCCCCTGTGGGAATTAGAGAGGAGCAAATCCCTCATGACCATCATTGGTGCTCAGGATACAAAGCCAGTGCAGCACTCTGGTCCCCGCCCCCGAACACACACACAGCCACACACAGGATGACCTGTGATGCCCAGACTGTGGCTGGTGGCACCTATAAATTTGAAGGATTTGGGGGTGCTAAGCTCCCTCCTGGCTTAGCATGTACTTGGAGACAACTAACTGGCATTATCAGAATGAATTTCACTAAGCCACTCATCATGGGAGCAGAAGGGGTTGTCAAGGGGCTTAAGGACAAGACTCGGTGGCTAAAGAGTGCTTGCTATTCCTCTAGAGGACCAAAGCTCAGAACCCAGCACCCATGGCTGGCAGCTCACACTGCCTGTAACTGAGCTCCAGACGATCCAACACCCTCTTCTAGTCTCCTCAGATACGTGTGGCACACCTCTCTCTCTCTCTCTCTCTCTCTCTCTCTCTCTCTCTCTCTCCTGTCTGTGAGGCAGCATCTCACATAGCCCCAGCTGGCCTTGAGTTCTCTGTGTAGTTGAGAGTGTCTTTGAACTCCTTGTTCTCCTGCCTCCACTCCCAAGTGCTGGGATTACAGGTGTGCACGGCTATGCCTAGCTTCCTGGTTCTCTTTGCCTCTCCCTGTCCTTGCTAAGCTCTTTTTGTCTGGAGCAGTGTAGTTCCTGGCCCTGCACAGATCTCCAGGTATACCGGATGCCAGCAGAAGTGGCAGGGAAAGGTGGCAGCTGCTTTGTGCAATGGCTCCTGCCCATTGCCTGTGAGACGAGGCTCCACCTCAGCACTTGCTCTCTCCTCAGTCCTATGATGACCGTAATGCTCTTTTCTGTCCTCTGTGCTTGATTCACCTCTCCCTGCTTGCTCGGGGCCCAGGAGAGCTGATACTGGAGTGACTCCATTGCTTCAGGTTATGAATGCTTAAGCTCCCATTGTTTCAAATCACAATCATAGCTGACACTGACCCGGTGCTCCTGTTGCATCTGACGCCAGCTTATTCCTATTAGCAGGGGCTGACATGATCTTTTGCCAGATGGACAGAAGCCCAGGTATCAGACAGTTCTGTGGCAGAGCACGGTTGTCTCTGGGTTCATGATGGGATCGAGAGCATGCCGACTTCAGGTTGTGGAGAAAAGGTCAGCTGCTGCTGCCACCCAATAAAGCTGATGACTTGAGACCTTATCTCAACACACATACACAGTGTTTTTTGTGGTTCTCCTTGGTTTTTTTTTTTTTTTTTTTTTTTTTTTTGGTTTTTCCAGACAAGGTTTCTCTCTGTAGCCATGGCGGTCCTGGAACTCACTCTGTAGACCTGGCTGGCCTAAAACTCAAAGAGATTCACCTGCCTCTGCCTCCCAGGTGCTGGGACTAAAGGCGTGCACCACCACTGCCCTGTTAGCAGAGTGTTTTTTAAAATAACAAGCCAGCTTGGAAGATGGGAGCTTATTGCTCGAATTTCAATCTACCATAAACTTAAGCCTCTTCTGGGATTTTGACAAGAATAGACAAGGTTCCCAGAAGTTGCCCTGGCTAAGGACGGTGAGCATCATGCTAATCTAAAACAAATGAGCCAAACAAGGCTGTCTGCTGGTATCTAGTTTTATTATGACAGTGCCTGTTCCAGGCTCTGGCTGTCGTCCTGGGTGACTCTCCCCAGAGCCTGAGACAACAGTGTGTTCCTGGGTGGTGTGCAATTTAATCAGCACAAAGAAAACTGCTTGGAGTGGTGGTGCAAACCTGTAATCCTAGCACTGGGGAGACTGTGGCAGATGAGTTCTAGGCCAACCTGGGTTACACATCTAAAAAAAAAAAAAAATTTTTTTTTTTTTGAAAGAGAAAGAAGTTTTGAAGCCTGGCCCAGTGTGCATGGCTGTAATCCCAGCATTCTCAGACAGAAGCAGAGGCAGGCTGAGAAGGGAGGCCAGCCTGATCCAGGACAGCCATTTTCTTGAAAAAAACAAATGGTTTGAGGCAGATGAGAGAGGAAGAAAAGGAGCGGAGATCAGAAACCTGTCTTGGAGAGCTGAACCTGGGCAGGGAAGGCTCTTTAAATTCCTTGGCAGATCCACTCCAGGCCTGTCTGGAAAGACTAGACGCCTGTGTTCCCTCCCCGAGGATCTGGGTCTTGCTCAGGCCCCTGCCTCTCCAGAGGTGGCATGGGTGGGGCGCAAGCCCAGTGTGTCACTTCCCTTTAGTTAACCGTAGTGGAAGTTTTGGTTTCTTTAAAAACTCAGTTATGTAAACAGGTTTTTTGCTTTCGTGCCAAGCGTGGGGTATGGAGCTGCTTTTAGTTTGTCCACAGCTGATGACTGCCTCATGTGGCTCAGAGAGGGGCGTGTCAGCTGGGTAAAAGCCTTGTGTGGGCTCAGAGAGGCACATGATCTTTGCCAGCTGTAGAGAGTTTAATTCCGAGGATTTGCAGGGAGTATAAATATGAGAGCCTAGCTCTCGAAAGGGCGAGGGTTTCGAGGAAGAAGGCTGCTTATTCATCTTGCGTTTGCCATTGCTGGACATCCTGATGACTGAGACTGGTATTTTCCCCAAGGACCCAGTGACCCTAACCAGTTGGAACTAAGTCTAGAGAGGTCTACGTCCCCTTTCCCTTCTAACCTTCTTTTTCTCCTCCTTAGTGTTGGGGGGGGGGGACTGGAAGGGAGATAGAGGCATTAAGAAACCCCCCAAAAAATAGAACTAAACAGACCCCAGGACACAGTCTGCTGGGCTTGGTGGCATCAGGACCTCCAGCCAGCTTCTGCCCTGGGCATTTCAATTTCAAGCAGGAGCAACAAGAGGTGGCAGAATGCAGGTCCCACGTGCAGGCTTTGAGCCAGCCACTTACCTTGCCAGAGGCTCAGCTCCGCCCTGTGGAAGGAATACGTTAAGTCTATGGAGTAGGGCTGACCGTGCTCTGGGCCTCGGGTAGCTCTAGGGACGGAGCCATCAGTGGCTGAGGACAGCCTGGCTAGGAGCCTCCAGCGCTCTCAACATCAGGCTCTGGCAGTTGCAGGCTGCTACGGCCACCTGTGTGCCCTCTCCTCTGCACCGCAATCCTTTATGGAGCTCTTTCGGATCCAGCTTCCTAGAGCTGTGCAGACTGCCCACTGCATGGTATTCCTGGTTGCACTGGCAAGCTAGGAACTGAATCTAAGCTATCTGTGAGTCCCAGGCTGGGGCGGGGAGCAAGTGTTTTGTAACTCGTACTGATGAAGGCAGGAATTAGCACTCCCTTCTCAGAAACCTCTCTTTCTCCTTGAGTCCCTGTTTTAAGGTCACCTCCTCTAGGAAGCCTGCTTGGCCGCTGGCAGATGGCAACAGCTAGCCCAGCCCTGAGCATATTCATTTGACAAGACTGAAGTTAACCCCTCTGCTCCGATCTGGGCTCTCTAGAGCCGGCATCCCAGGTGAGCGCTCCAGTCAGTGACTCACAGCTGGCTCAGGCAGGAACTGGGCGAGGAGTGCTTTATTCTTACTGCCGGACAGAGGCGATACCCAGGACCTTAGTAGCAGCACATAGTCCCTCCCAGCCTTTCCTTTTGGCATGGCAGCTGCAGGCCGCTTTGGGAGCCAGGGTGACAGCCCTCGCCCAGGGGGAGCAGCAGCGGGCAGCAGTAGCAGCAGCAGGTCACGGTGGGGTAGGGAGTGTTAGTCTGGCCGGCTGGTGCTCTTCCCTCCCGGCTGGTGGCTGAGGAGGACAAGGGCCTGGACAGTGAGCTGGGGACACTGAAGCAGCTCAGTCGGCAGTGAAGATACGACTGGAGATGTCATCAAGAAGCCAATCGATGCCGGGCAGCAGGTCCTCACCGGTGACAGCACTGCAGCCCTGGATTCGCCAGTGGTGGCTGCGGATGGAGGCCAGGTCCAGGGCCTGGGGACATAAAGGACTGGTGGTACCAGCAGGCCTTGGCCTGTCTTTTCCCAGTCACCCAGCAGGTGACTTTGCAGCTACACAGCAGCGCTACTCAGTGACAGAAAGCCAGCTTGGGCTGCTTTATGAGTGTGTGCTAGGAGCCAGGCATTTTGCAGGGACTACAGAAACCATTTCATCTCTTGCCTACGGCCTTCCAATCCAGGGATGGTGTGGTCCATTTTGCCAAGGAGGGAATCCAACTCAGAGGCTCTGCACCCTTCCATGTCACACAGCCAGTTAAAAGGTGACAGCGAGACTCAAAAGCCAGGTGTGGTGCGGCACACCTATAATAGAGCACTCCGGGTGGGGGGTGGGGGAGGAGGTGGAGGATTCTAAGCCTGCTAGAGTCACAGTTAAGGTGTGCTCCAGGGCTGGGGCAGCATGACACACAATCCTGGCTTGTTTTACCTACTATGTGACATTGGACAGGTTACTTAGCCTATGTCTGCTTCACCCACACATGACTGTTGTACAAATGAAGAATGAAACCTGTGAGTCCACGCAGATAACCTTGCAGTGGAGAGCACTCACTACAGTCTGGCTGCTAGAACCCGGTGAAATGACCTATTTAAAGGTCTGCCTTTTCCCAGACTGTGGGCCGCTCTGCCTTCTTAAGCATCAGATTCCCAGGGCTCTGCTCTACTTAGGTCTTGCCACACAGTAGGAGCTAATAATTGCTTTTCATACCAATTATTAGCCAGCCACAGAGGTGATTGCGTGGAGTTCCAGGCGAGAGGACTGCTGCTGAGTCTGAGACCAGCCTGGGCTACAGAAATCCCATCTCAAAAAAATACTACTAGGCCTGCGGATGTGGCTCAGTTAGTAGAGGGTTTGCCTAGCATGCACAAGGCTATGGGAACAGTCACCAGCACTGCAGAAACCGGACATGCGGTGCACCACACCTGTGATCCCAGAGCTCTGGAGGAGGAGGAGGAGCAGGAGGAGCAGGAGGAGCAGGAGCAGTTCAAGGTCACTCGGCTTCCTAGTAAGTCTGAAGCCTGCTAGGGCTACTGAAATCCCGTTTCAGAAGGCCAAAAATTAAAAAGAGTAAAATTAAAAAGACCCTTTACTCGGCGAGCCTGCACTGGGGCCTGACTCACCTCCTGAATAGCATTAGAGGACAGTGCTCCAGGCAGGTCCTGCTTGTTGGCAAAGATGAGGAGAGTTGCTCCAGCCAGGCGCTGGGGAAAGAGAAGACAGGTTGTGGGGGTGGAGGAGGCTTAGAGTACGCTTGATCCCTTCTCTACAAGCCATAAGGTCAGTGGTCAGCATGCAGGGTCAGGAACAGGGCTCCAGGTTGTAGGGGAGGGCCAGGTGGGGTAGGCAAAGTGGGCAGGGCTACTAACGCTAGCTACCACACAGGGGGCACCTCTTCCCTCCAGGCCTCAGTTTCCTCTTCCATAATGAGGGAGAGAGTGTTTGCCCACAATGACCCCTCTGTAGCTCTGGCCATGTACAGAAAGCATGAGAGTGCTGGGGTCCTGCCCTGGAGACTCTGGGATAGAATCACCTGCCCCTCCTCCCAGCCACAGAACCCTTAAGTTGTACTTCAGCAGACTGCCCCGTCGGCCTCTATCTACTTATTCCCCTTGGTGCATTGTGGAATCTCTCCATGTGCAAAGAGAAATCTAACGAGGGCTAGCCCTGCTGGGCCTTGGCTTAGCCTTCGACAACAGGGACCTCGCTAGACCTGTTCAATACTCCAGGAGAGGCCGCAGTCATCCCAGTGGCATGTGTCTATGTGAGGCCCGTGCATTCCTGTGGTTCCTGCACAACCGTTCACAACTCCCTCGTACCCTCTAAAAACTGCCCTGGCCTTCAGCTAACTGAAGTGTGGCAACTTGTTTCAGGCCCTGGGACAGTCGGAGCACACTAAGGAAACAGCAGTGTCCAAGTATCGCCTGCAGCTTAAGGAGCTGCTAATTCCCCAGCATTAGTGGTGCCAGCTGTAATCCTAGCACGAGGATTACTAGGCTGGGGCAGGAGGACGGACAGTTTGGAGCCAGCCCAGACCACATAAGAAAACCTGATCTTAAACACCCCTTCACTGCTCCCCCCCAAAAAAAACCTGCCAAAATAAATAGCCAATAATGGAGCATAGTGGCATACACCTGTGATACATTGCATGCACATAATTTGGGAAGGAGAGGCAGGGGGATAAGCGGTTCAAGCCTCAGCCAGTTAAGGCCAGTCTGAGATACAGAGTAAAAGCCTGTGTCAAACCACACAGTCTTTTAAGCTAGGCGAAGTGGAGCACGCTTGTAATCCCAGCACTCAGGCAGAGG